CCCCAAAACCCCAAAACCCCAAAACCCCAATCTATGTATCTAGAGTTGAGACTAAGTTTTCATATAAAATCTTAAGTCTTTATGAAATCATGAACTTCATAAATTCAGCTTTTGAAAATCTGCCAGCATGATCATACTTCATGTTGGAAAGCATCTGACTGAGTATTGTGTCACATAACTCTTGCATTCTATTTTAAGTTCATAGAGCTTGGAAATGATAATTCTCCTACCTTTTATCTAAACTTGTATCTTTCTAAATATTATAGAGGACTTTTACATGATCTCCTGAAATACTTCTGATTGCTCTAATCATTGTATCCTTCATGATCAGGCCTTCTCTCAGGATCTATAGTAGTTCAAGTTTGCAGAATATCCTTCTGAATAAATTTAAGGATTTATGGCAAAGAGTGCTCTGCATATTTAGAGAATCGGAATGTTTCTACTGATGAGAAGTATTACCTTGAGTAAGACAGCTTTTTCAATCTTCCCCTCCCCTTTTCTGTCTAAATTAGAAAATATATTCTCGATAATGATCTCTTTTGGATCGGTTACATTTTCAAGGGAGAGAGCCAGCATCATAAACTCTGTTAGCATCATGTACTCTGAATCATCAGTTGTCTGCACTATACAAAAAGTACATTTTTGAGTCATACAAGAAGGAAATAAGACTCTAAAAAAGAATTATGGGAATTTGTATTTTTTGTATCTAAATTTACACATCATGATACCGAAAAGGTGTCAAATCTTTGGAAGAGCCTTACGTATCCCAGGAGTCATATAGTTCTCGTAAACAAGGCTAATAAGGTTTAAATAGTCCCTATTAACCTCATTAAATTTCCTTTCTTCTTCAAGGTATTTATGAGTAAGCTGTTTCTCAATTCTCTTAGCTGAATCTTTCTCATTTTCAATACTATGAGCCTGAGAAGGAAGTAATTTATTGCTTAAATAAGCTAAGACTTTGATCTTTGGAACCTTTTTATCCTATAAAGTTAAGGTAGTTCTCCTCACTCCTTGTAAATCATCTTCTTCGATGGAATCCCTAGAGAATGACTTGTAGAGACTTACTCACAGAGCTAGAGAAGGTTAGAGAGAACTTACCTCATTTTCAAATACATTCCTCATTTCTTCAATTTCTTCTGATCTGGCATATGATGAGAAGAACCGTCTGTAAATTACTATTTTGGACATCAACTGAAGATCTTTGATAATATTGACAGCATCAAATTCTAGAAATATTTAACTCATCAAGCAAATATTAACACTTAAAATATAGGATTGGAGACCTTAGTCTTAATGAAGACTAGGAGAAGCTTATAGGGTATCCTATTGACCCAAAATATTACTAGCCAAGCTTTAGCTCCTCTGGGTGTCAAACTCCTTACCAATTTTCTTGTTCTTGTGTTCAAAGAACTTTTTATACTCAAAATCTAGAATAAGGTATCCTTTCTTGATCTTAATCTGAGTGTGTCTATCGTTTGGATCAATTCAAATTAAATTATTGATTAGCTTAGTAAGCTTAGGAGGAATACTTTTAAACACATATGGAAATTTTGGCTGAAGATCTTCCTTATTTGCTATAATTTATATTCTGGACAAATCTATGCATGAGAGCTTTGGCATACTTATCAAAACTATTGCTACTAACCAAGTGAAAGTAGGGATGTCTGTTTCCAAGCATCATGGAGAATATTACTCCTAAGGCATAATAATCAACCCTCTTGTCATATGGTTGAAGATTAGCTCTTTCTGGAGCAATAAAAGCGACATTATCCTCTAAGATATCATCAAAATTTTTCCTAGAGATGATATTAAAAGCAAACCCGCTTTTCAAGTGAATTTTCATGTTATTAAGCAGCTTCTCTCTCATTTGCAAGAAATATGACTCAGCATAATCTCTGAGGACAGAGTTACAATGTGCTTCTATTTGTTCAGAATCTCCTACAAAGAGAGCATTCTCGAAATTGATTAATTTTATAGATCGGATGTTGCCTTTCTCTTGAAATATGATATTATGAGGGCTATATATACATAATTTGAGAAATCTTGAATCGGCGTTGATGACCAGGTGTTTAGGTGAAACTAAAAAACTTCAAAAAGATAAGCTAGTGAAACCCCAATATGAGGTGTGACTTTGAAATAATATGTTTTATCAATATGCATTATACATGACAAAAATTTCTTTCAACCCTTAATTGAACTTGACTGTCCTGGCAGCTGCTAATGACAGCATTTAAGATTCTGAGAAAATCCCAAAAGGAATTTCCCAAGATCCAGGGCAAATTCACAAGAAACAAGATAGAATATGGTATAGGAATTTTGTGAAAATCAAAAAGTTAAGGAAAGTTTTTTCAAATTGAAAACTTTGAATCATTTCTTAATTTGAACCGTTGAAGGGGACTGTATTATAAGTGAACACACAAAGCAATGTTTAGAGCAGCCTCCTGAATGCTTTGATTTTTGTTATATGATTCAATGACTTTCTTTGGAATGGGGTATTAGGTTAAATATCAGAAACCTCCCGTTTAAAGACAGTTTTAATTTGGCAGAGAGTGGCATGCTTTAAGTACATATTAGAGTCCAAAAATTGGTTCCGATGCTAAAACTCTTTTTCACCGACCTTATATCTCTATGAATAATGTTTTTGTCATGTATCATCATGACTATATCAAGCAATTGTTTGAAAATAACACATCACTTGTCATAAGCAATAGGACTATAAGTTAGCAAACTATTTACCCTGAATCCAATTGGTCTTCCAATTCACCAGTATTTGAAACAGCAAAATCACCTGGCAGCCTGTATTGCTTCACTTTTCCTGACATAAGCTGAGCAAGGGTGAACCCATTCATACTCTCATAAATATATACCCTATTTCATACTATAAATGTCCTACCTGCGTGTTCCTTCGTTAGACTCATTAGCAAAGGCATCTAACGGATGTGGAACTCTTGGGTCATCAATATACTTAGTATACACATAATCTTTCAAATACTTAGGGGTATACTCAAAATCACTCTGGTCGTTCTTAAACTTATACTCCTTCGCAGTGTAAAAGTTCTGCTTGGAGATGCCTCTTTCTCTAACCTTAATGAACCTGGCTAGTCTATATGTTTAACTCCACTTGGCTCTACTTGTTCTCAAAGTGTTTAAGTTCACGAATTTCTTCATAAATATCTTCATAGAAGAAATCTTCTTCAATTTTGAATTTATTTATGAGGCATGATTGCGTTCTGGTTCGGCTGGTTCAATTCTACAGGCTGGCCAGAAAGCTTACCAGTGACGGAGGGGGATTCCTTGATCGGGTTATGGCTCGTGCTTGAGAGGAATGAGGGCCTGGTGGTGCAGCAGTTGCTTCCCATTTTTGGAATTTAGTTTAATTTTATATGGGAAGGGATGTAGAGTGGGGTTTTGGGGTTTTGGGGTTTTGGGG